GTCCTTGCATGTCAAGCTAAGGAGTTTGGATTTTGTTCTTAGGCAGTGGGGATCAATTGGAGGCTTCTGAGCCCCATGTCTTATAAGTAGTGATGATACAAATAGTAACAGTGAACACTTGGTGGGAATATGCCAGGTGCCCAGCACTGTTCTAAGCACTTTATTTTTAAGTTTTAGGTTTTTAAAAGTTTTTATTTTGGGCTGCACTGGGTCTCTGTTGCTAGGCACGGGCTTTCTTTAGTTGCAGCAAGCAGGGGCCACTCTTCTTTGAGGTACGCAGGCCTTATTGCAGTGGCTTCTCTCATAGAGGCAGGTGGGCTCTAGGGATGCAGGCTTCAGCAGTTGTAGTACACAGATTAGCTGCTCCACAGCATGTGGAATCTTCCCAGACCAGGGATCGGAGCCGTGCCCCCTGCATTGGCAGGCGGATTCTTAACCACTGGATGACCAGGGAAGTCCCTAAACGCTTCATACTGACTAAGTGTCACAACAGCCCTATGAGGGAGCTGTTATTGTTATCACCCATTTTACAGATGAGACTGCCAAGGTGGAGAGGCTGAGTCACTTGTCCAGGCTCACACAGCTGGGACATGGCGTAGTGAGGCTCTGAACTGAAGCTTGGAACTAGAGCTTTTCCTCACTCTATTATTGTCCTTGTTAAACATAAGTATTTAACTAACATAAAACGCGGAGAAGGAAATGGCAACCCACTCCAGTATTCTTGCCTGGAGAACCCCAGGGACAGAGGAGCCTGGTGGGCTGCCGTCTGTGGGGTTGCACAGAGTTGGACACGACTGAAGCGACTTAGCAGCAGCAGCATAAAGTATGAGTGTGTGTTAGGTGGGCTTCCCAGGTGGCGCCAGCTGTAAAGAGTCCACCTACCAATGCAGGAAGTGAAGTGAAAGTCGCTCAGTCACGTCCGACTCTTCGTGACCCAATGGACTGTATGGCCTGCCAGGCTCCTCTGTCCCAGGGATCGAGCCCAGGTGTCCCGTATTGCAGGTGGATTCTTTACCCTCTGAACCACCAGGGATGCCAACTGCAGGAGACACAGGAAACACAGGTTGCATCCCTGGGTCGGGAAGGTCCCCTGGAGAAGGGAATGGCTCCCCACTCCAGTATTCTTGCCTGGAAAATTCCACGGACAGAGGAGCCTGGAGGCCTACAGTCCCTGGGCTTGCATAGAGTCAGACACGACTGAGCACACATAGACATAAGGATTCAACAGATCCCAGCTAGTTACTGGCATAAAAGGCAAGAACTGATGGGGGCTCTGGCCACACAGGGCAGCATCTCTGAGAAGCTGAGACTTGGAAACAGAATGTGAAAACGACTATGGGCTGTGGTCAGGGAGTCCCAAGCCTCCGAATTTCACTCACAGCTGCTCTTTTTTTTTTAGCCTCTGACGAGTTCTCAGTTTCTTGGAAGATCCCCCTCCTTTGGGCAAACCAACACAAAAGCCATCAGGGTGACTCACATGATTAGGAAAGATGACCTGGTGGGATCACCCCCAGTGCCACTGAGCCCAGAGCCTCTGTCATCAGAAACACATGAGCGTTTATAACACTTCTTGTTTCTGTTTCAGCCCAGGCCTTTGATTTCCACAGGGTGGGGTTTCCAGAGCCGGGCACCATCACAGCCTCCATCTGTCTGTCTTTTGTCACCATGTCCGTGATGGATCTGGGGACCGTGGTTCCCACTTCTCCGCTCCTGGTCTCCGCCCAGCGCTTCTCACGAACTCCAGGCCCTCACTTCTCATCCACGGCTCAGCGGGGCCAGGAGAGGAGCGTGCAGATCAGGGTAGCATCTCCCCAGAAAGCTGCCGTTGTTCGTCCCTTTCCTAAAGCTCCCTGGCTGTGGGTGTCCTCATGACCACAGACGAGGCTGTCAGGGAGAACAGCCCTGGCCAGCCTGCCACTCACTGCCCCTGAAGGCCAGGCCATCCCCGCCTGGAGCAGCAGCTCCCCTCTGCACAGAGCAGGAGGCCAGGAGGCCCCACGGTCCAGGTCCTGCTCTGCCGCGCAGGAGCTGAGCGCCTGGGCTTCTCTGCAGGCGGTGTGGTGGGCTGAGGCAGCCAGGACTCCCATCCCGGTTCTCTGACTCTCTAGCCGGGGGGGGGCCGGCGGGAGCGGGAAGAGGGTGCTGCTGCCTCCGGCATGCTCAGTCTCCTCTGCCAAGTGGAAGTGGGAGGTGGAGATCCCACCGCACGGCGCTTCCCGGGGTCAGGAAGGATATGGATGCCTGGGGCCCAGCGGCTCAGCGTTGGTTGGTGTGCCTGGCCCCCTCCCACATCTTCGTGAAAGGGAAGTGATACCTGCTGAGGCCAGGGCTTTGGTGGGTGTGGGGATCCAACAAGACAGTGAGCGGAGGGCCCCACCCAGAACCGGGCAGGTAAGAGACAGGGCTCCCCCCAGCCAGCCACCCCCCCACCCCCCTTGTTGGAATGCCACCTGCTGACTGGGGCCCACGGTGCTCCCCACGGATGGAGACGGCTAAGCCATTCCCACGTCCGAGGTGGCTTCAGTTTCACTCCCCGGCCCCAGGGCAGGCGGCATTTCAAGAAGGCCCCCTCATCTTTTGTGTGCTGAAAAATAAACAGCTCTCCTCAGATTTCTGCTCTGGAGGTAGGTGAGCTTCCTGGTCATCCCTGCATGGACAGGCCGGCCTCGGCTCCTGGGATGGGCTGCCAGCCTCCTCCCTCGCCTCTTACTTTCCCTCAGATGCCGGTGGAAGCTCCAGCACCACTCTAGGCCTTTGGGGGCGTAGGGCCTCGCAGGACCCAGTCCTCCCATCAAGGTTCTCCTAGTTAAGGTGCTGTGTGCGTCAGTAGAAGGAAACCTGGGATATGGGGAGGGCGGGGGAAGGCAGAAGACACAGCGCAGGGGGCCTGAGGCTGCCTGGGGCCAGAGAAGGCTGGGCAGGAGAGCTTTCCAGAAGGACTGATCTCTGAGCTGAGACGGAAGGAGGAGACATTGCTTCACTGCACCTGGGCCAGTTACTTCCCCAAACCTCGGTTTCAGGTTCTGTAAGACAGACTGATGATACCTCCTTCAGCGCGAACAGCGAACAGTGAGAGGCTTCAGTGAGATGATGAGTGTAAAAGAACCGACAAATACCTCGTCCCACTAAGCGCCCAGGAAACAGTAGCTGCCTGCCGTGCCAGGCATGGGAGGTGTTTGGTGACTTGAATGTCTTTTTCAAGGGTCTTTTTCCTGGGGCAGTTAACACCTGTTACTTAGTCTAACTGGTTTCCAAAAAAAACCCAGGGTGAAATTAAAACAGCCCGATGGCCCTTTCTGTTTCTCCGGTGAGTAATGGGAAGTCCTGCCCCCAGTGGGAGTGGAGCAGAAGACACCAGAATTAAAATTCTTCCCACAGACCCTGCCTCCCCCAAGGTCCTCAGACATGTTCCCCTTGTCCTTGGGTATTGCAAAATTAGATGCATTTTCAAGGCCCTTCCCCAGAGTATTTTTCACTTCTTTACTTGTTCTTGCATTCATTTTAACAGTGTTTGGAGCGCCTGTGCTATGGCAGCTGATGGGGATTCTGTGTCAGACAAGATCCCAGTTCTGATAAAGCTCACAATTTTGGTGAGGGGGAAGGAAACAGACGTTAAAAACCAGCATAAATAAGTAACAGACTGCAGCAAAACAGGTTGCCATGATCGATAATTTGGGTTCTGCTCCGGGTGGCTGGGACATTTGAGGGTGTGACGTTTACACTGACCTCTATCTGCAGCAGAAATCTGCATGGTGGGGCGCAGAGACATGTTCCACACAGAGGGAACAGTGCTATAAAGATCTCGAGGGCAGGAGACACTTGGAGAATCTGAGAACAGAGGGAGGGCGGGAGAAGCTGGGGCCTGAGTCAGCAGCGAGGTGGGACAAGGGGCAGGGTGGGCAGGGGCCATGGAGGACCGGCAGGGGGACTGTCCCCGCAGAATTGGGAGCCAGGGTAGCAGGATCTGAGCTTCCTGCTGAAGGCTGGGCTCTGGCTGCGGAGCAGGCTGGAAGAAGGCAGGAGGTGAGGCCAGGAGACCTCGGGGTCTGTCACCGTGGCGCCCCGGGTGCCACTCAGCCTCTGTGCCTGTCCCTTCATGCATCTGTGCCGTCAGCTGTGGGAGGGACCCGGAGCCTGCTTTGGAAAGCTGAGGAAAATGTATGAATGCAGAGGGGTTCCAGGTCTCACCGGACAGGGAGGGTCCTTTGGGAAACTGCTGAGTAGGCTTTGCTGGGGCCTTGAGGGGCAGGGAGAGCGCCCAGTGCCCACCTCTGAGGGAAGGTGGAGGGAACGGGCCTCTTCTTGGCTGTCGGCTGGCCCCAGAGCCGTTCCTGTTTTGAGGGTAAGATCACACCTTGGAGCCTGGAGCCAAGCATGGGCTTCCCTCCAGCACGCACAGAACATTTTTCATTCTAAGTCAGGAGAGTGCTCTGGAATTTTCTGAGATCATCGTGAACTCTGGCTTAAAGACCCCTGAACGAAAGGAAGGGGGAAATGAGGGGGGGTGCACATGCCTTTTTTATTCCCCCCGTGTGTGTGTGTGTGTTTTCCCCCAGTCTTTCTCGCTCCCATGGGAGAGGCTGCTCTTGGCGCAGCAAAAGGACAATGGCGAGAAAAACTTCTCTCTTGACCTTTGCGGCCAAACTAGGGGCCCTTTCCTAATACCTGGCTTTTGGCATCTGCCACCACGGCTTATAGATGGGGGACTTCATGTTTCTTAGAAGGAAGGGTGGCCGCGAGCCCCTTCCTGCCTGCAAGCGGGAGGGGCCTCTCCCCGACCCCCACCCCACTCCCCGACCTCTGGGAAGGGGGAGAAGGCTTCGTCTCCCTGGGGACTCTGGGGGGCGGTCTCCCGGCGCGGCCGGGGAGGGAGCCGGAGCCGCGCGGACCAGGCTCCGCCCTCGAAGGTGGTGCGAGGCCGGGCCCAGCCCCACGGCCGGCCCTCCTGGGCCAGAGCCGCGGGCGCGCGGCGACGGGGAGCGGGCGTCGCGGGGTGCACCATGCGGAGCCTGTGGCCGCCGCGGCCAGTGGCCGCGGCGCTATCGGCGCTGGGGGTAAGGCGCGGGGTTGCATAATCGGGGAAGGGGCGGGGGGTGGCGAAGGGAGGCGGGACCCCCCTCCGCCTCCCCCGGCACGGGCCTGGCCGTGGGCCGGTCCCGGTGTCCCGGCCGGGGCGGGGCGCGGCGGCGGCAGCGCAGGCGGCGGGTGGCCGCTTCCCTGTTCTCCCCATTCGGGCGTGGGAGCCATGGAGGCGCTAAGAGAGTCGGTGCTGCACTTGACTTTGCAGATGTCGACCTACAAGCGGGCCACGCTGGACGAGGAGGACCTGGTGGACGCACTCTCCGAGGGCGACGTGTACCCCAACCACCTGCAGGTAGGCGCCCCCAGCCTGCCAGCCACCGGGGCGCGGGGGTGGGGGACCCGTGCCAGCCCGCCAGCCCTTGGGCTCCGTGGGTTTAAAAAAGCCTTTTCTGGGTTAGCAGTACCCCTGAGGCGCTGGGCTCCCCAACAGGCCTCCCCTCCCCACTTCCACGCGTCCCCAACCCCTCCCGACCACCTGCTGCTGGCTTACAGACCATGTGGCCGAGCAGAAGAAGCATCCTGAAGGGGTGAGCTGGTCCAGTTCTCTCTTCACTGGAAGAGAACGGTCCCTGAGTGCTGAGACTTGCCCAGAGTTTTAGGCAGAGCCTAAAACCTTCTGAGTTGTCTCATGCAATGTCCCGGAACCCTGTCAGTCCTGGGCAGACGGGGAGTGGTTGGTCACCCTGTCTGGCAGACATTACCCCACGTTCTTCCTCTTCTTCCCCAAACCCTGCATCCTGGCGTGGGAGCCCAGCCTCCGCTCCCCGGCTCTCTGCCCCTTCCAGCCTGTATTCGGGAGGCCCAGGTCCTCCCCCACCACGCGCTGCCCCCCTGGGGTTCAAATGTGCCCATCAACTCCACTCAATGCGGCTGCTTTCTGCTCTTCCCCCCCGGAGGGATGAGCTGGGGCATCCAGACCAGGACCTCAGCCCCGGTTGGGCGTGAACTGAAACAGGTGGACCTGAGGAATTTGGAAATACCAGAGGATGCCCAGGGGGGCCCTGTGAGCTGACACCTGAAGAACCGGCTTGCAGAAGGCCCGGTGAGCCGCTCAGCCTAGGAGGACTTCTGCCAGGTCGACCCAGGGAGGCCTAGAGGAGGGTCTTGGGGCTGCTGCAGGAACTGATACCAACTGATACGCCCCCAGAGGGAAAGCGTAGGTTGTGTGGAAACTTAGGCTGCCAGGCCCAGTCCTACTCGGGCACGCCTCTCAGAAGCTGGGATCATGATACTAGTAAGGGAAACAGCACTGATTTATATTCGTTCAGTAGACCCCGGGGAGGTCCCAACCCGACTCTGGGTGGTCTGCACACACTGCAACAGGACTCTCTAACCTACATGGTCCCACTCAACCTTCAGGAGCAGCCCGTGAGTTGTTGTCTTTACTGCTCCCCCTTACAGACGAGGAAACTGAGGCTCTGAAAGGGGAGACAACTTGCCTTAGGTGCACTGGAGCTAGAAATCCAGGAGTAAGAAATCAAACCTTGTCTGTCTAGAGCCACTTCCCCGTGGACCCTTCTGAAGAGGCTAAATCCAGCAGGAAATTAGATTCCTGTGGCAGGCGCTTTTGCCTTCCTGAATCAAAACAGAATCTAATCAGCCGTCTTTTTCAGTCTCATCTTTCACAGAAGGTTCTAAAAATATCAGCACAAAAGCATTTCGGAATTCACAACAAAGTAATGTGCTGTGTTGTTATCATCATAACGGCAGCCCGCATGGGTATAGACTTTTTCAGGCCACAAAGCACATTCGTCAGCCTGAGGCCGCCTGGCAGAGGGGAGGCACCCAGGTCTCTGAGATGTGGGGGGGGCCCAGGTGTGAATCTGACACCACCTGTTATCCTGGGCGATCTAAGCTTCTCTTCCTGCATCTGCACAATGGGAGTTAAGAGAAAATGACTGTGGTGCATGTTTCAGGGCCTGCCAGGATTGTTGTTTGTGATCATGAGGTAAGGGCTCTTGTGGCTGTGTCACACTTGACAAAGCTGAGTCTCAGAGAGGTTAGGGACATTCCTGTGGTCACAGAGCGGTCATGTGGTTGGAATGTAGTGTTGATGCCCCGACACCAAGCCACCCAACCGGGTATATCGTCCACTTTCACTACAGAAAAAGCCCAAATGCTTGCCCTAAGGATTAGGAGGCATTTCTGTAGGTACCCAGCCTGGCTTTCCTTGAGCCTCCACACCTTCCCCAAAGCAGACTAGCTAACGATTGTTCTTGTAAGAGTGGAGAACCTTTTCATTTCATCTTACAGAGTTTTCTATGAGTTTTATGTCTTTAATCACAGGAAGTTTTTTCCAGTATAACAATTTTGCATACTAATTTGTGAAAAAAAGAGTCAAGTATAAAAAAAATTTACAAAGAGACAGTAACCCCACCACTCAGAAATAACTACTTCTCATTTTTCACATTTGCTTGTATGTATTTTTTAATATAATTGAGCTCACTCTACATCCATAACATTTTGTCCTACTTTTTTCATTTAATGCCACGTCATAAGCATTTTTCTATGTTGTTAGAAACTTCGGAAACATCAGCTGTACCTCAGTTTTAAAAATACTTCCAAGGAGTTCCTTGATGGTTTAGTGGTTAGGACTTGATGCTTTCACTGCTGAGGGCTGGGGTTCGATCCCTGGCCTGGGAACTAACATCCTGCAAGCCTTGTAGTACAGCCAAAAAAATAAAACAACACTTCCAAAACATACTGCCATTAAACATCGTAATACTTTATGGTACCAATATATAAAGATACATTTACTCAATCTGCTACAATTGGACAATAGACCCAGTATCTGTAACACTGTGGGTGACCAGCTTCTAACCTTTTGAATAATTTTCTATGAGTAATTGCTAGAAACTCAACTGTTCCCTCAATTTTAGGCTTTTTAAAATGGATCCACCCCCCCTCCACCACCCACCAAATCTCCATCTCTTGACAGGCAGCTATAAAAATCAGCTACTTGATTTTTCAAGATTTTGAAGCCCGTTGTTCCTGAAACTCCCAAGTTGTCAATACCAACACTAGTAAATGACAACTTGCATCTTTCAGCCAAACTTGCCACCTTTTGCCTGAACATGCTGACAGAGTGTTGTATTTAGCTGGAGCAAATTTCTACTTGTACCTCACCTGAAAGGATTTTTCTTTTCCTTGATCTCATATTATTGCCGTCAACTAAAATTAATCAGTGTGGACTGAGTGCAGAATTTAAAGCCCCAGCTCTGACATGGAGCCCCAACTTTGCCTCTCATGGGCTCTGAGACCTGAAAGCTACTCAGTTAACCAGCTTTTTTTTTTTTTTTTTACAAGATGGGGTTGATAATAATCCACTTCTCAGAGATGTTGCAGAGATTGAAATGAGACAATCCAAGTGAAAGCACTTAGTGTAATGCACAGAAAATGTATTTGGTTGGGATTATTATAAAAACTCACCCGGCGTGATATCTCAGTGATGCCCTAAACATAATAGCTTTGCCTCTGTTCGGCTCAGACTGGCTGCCTGGTCTCTGTCCCTCCAGGTACATGCCACACACCATTTCAGTGGCTCAGAGGGAAATAACTAAAGTCATACCTGCAGCTGGGGCTTCCCAGGTGGTAAAGAATCCTCCTTCCAATGAGGAAACACAGGAAACAGGTTCGAGCCACGGGTGGGGAAGATCCTCTGGAGTACGAAATGGCTACCCACTCTTGCCTGGAGAATCCCATGGACAGAGGAGTCTGGAGGGCTACAGCCCACGGGGGTCGCAAAGAGTCGGACACAACTGAGCCTAAACTGGGAGCAGAAGGCCACTGCTGCTGCGGCTTGGCCACTTCAGTCGTGTCCAGCCCTGTGCGACCCCATGGACTGTAGTTCACCAGGCTTCTCTCCAGGGAATTCTCAAGAGTACTGAATGGGTTGCCGTGCCCTCCTCCAGGGGATCTTCCCAACCCTGGGATTGAACCCAGGTCTGCTGCCCTGCAGGCAGATTCTTTACCACTGAGCCACCAGGGAGACCTCCCACAGAAGGCCACAACTATTTACCAAAACCTTTGAAGCTCATCCAGTTACCCCTAAAAGTCAAATTTACTTTTCAAGAAAAAGGAAAGCCAAGATACTTAATTCTTGGTGGTGGTTTTCTCTAATCCCCCCCACACCCCTTCCCTTCATGCACAGAGCTGTCTTTTGTCGGCAGTTGCAGAGATGGTCCCATTAAGTACTTTAAAAAGATCTCTCTGCTTTCCAGCAGACTCTTTCAACTCCATCTGCCTGCTTGATCTTTTTACTCTTGACCTTAGGGTTGCTTTAGGATCCGAACTGGTCAGACCTTACACCTCATCTAGCTTCCTCATTTTAAAAATAGGTGACTGGGACTTTGCTGGTGGTCCAGCAGTTAAGATTCCACACTTTCAATGCAGGGATGCAGGGGGCACAAGTTCGACCCCTGCATGGGGAACTAAGATCCCCCAGTCTGCATAAAAAAAAAAATATATATATATATATATATATAAATAGGTGACTGAGGTCCAGAGGCTGCCCAGGGACACACGATCTTGATAAAGCCAGGGTTGACCTTTGACTTCTCAGGTTCATGCCCTTTCTCCTGTGCCATTGACAGCTGGAAGGTGCATCTTCTAAATACTAGACTTGGATTCCTGTTGAGATGCAAGGAGTCCCCTCTCCCCTAGCAGGTACTGATTCAAGCTGCTCTCAGTCATTGGGAGAGTCAGGCCGTGGGGCTGAGGGGCTGGTAGGGCTCTGGGAGGAAGTGGAGAGGATGGGAGGGCTTCATAGTTTCAGCCTGGCCTGGCCCCAGTGGCCTTAGCCAGAAGCCTGCCATGTAGAAACTGTCTTGGAAGAAACTTCCCCAGCCTAACACAGGATATCACGCAGCGCCAGGCTGTCACGGTCTGTCTGTTCCGAGGGGCTGACTCGGAGGCAGGCGGCCCCGTCTCCCTGCCAGCCCTCCCCAGGGTGGTCTGGGCTGCAGGGGGTGGGCTCCCTGCCAACCCTTTGGCCAGACTGACTCCTGTTGGCCGCTCCGCTCAGCTCAGGTCGCTGGCGGACCAGGCGGTGTCTCAGGAAACAACTGCCTTCCCTGCGGACCCCCTGCTTCCTCCGAAAGCTGGGCTCCCCACCCCTTCTGCCGGCTTGTCTCCTGGGCCCCAGGTCTGGTGGCCTGTCCTCGCCCGTAGAACCCGTTCTTGCTGGGAGCCTCGCTGAGCCAGGCACTCACTTCTGTAACCAAATATTTATCCCTCAGCAGGGCTTTGTTCCCTTGGCTGTGGCAACCCTGGGAACTTCTGGGCTGGATGGCTCAACCGTTGCTCTCTCTCTTTCTCCACCTCTGTTTCCTGCTTGGTCTTCCTCTCTACCTTTCTTTCCAGGCATCCTTTCCTTTCTATCTCATGCTCTCCCTGCCTCCCCGGACCAACCACTAGGACGCTAAGCCGGCCAGTGAGCTGAGCATTCACGATGATTGTGACCCCATCTTCCAGGATAAGCTCTACTCCTTGGCTGCTGCTGCGCCCAGTTACCTCTCTCGAGACCGAGTGGGCTGCCCGTCACTAACCCTCCGACCCTCCACGTTGCTGCAAACCCCTCTCTCACGATCCACATGCCATCATTTCCCAAAGGCGGGCTCTGAAGGAGGCAGGGCGTGGAAGGGACTCACTGAGCCAAACAGCCCCAGCCCCAGCCCCGGGCACGACACCCAGGAATTGGACAGCCTCTCCTGGAGTGGCCTCTTGACCCCGGCACAGTCTGCTGGTGACTTCTCCTGCCGTGGGAGACTGCATCTGGACTTCGGCCCTCAGAGGCAAGGCTTGTCCAGAAGCCAAGAGGCCCCTCTGCCTGGTCGTTAAATCCAGCAAAGAACCATACAAAGGCTAAAAACTCTGCCTTCAAATTCCATGTGCCCTTTCTCCCTGGAATTATGAATGTCTAATTTAATTTGGACTTAATTCTGTTTGCGTTTTGTGAACGGCATCTGTCTGTTTGATGTTAAACAGGCGAGGCGAGGCTCGCTGCTCCTGGTGGGCAGCGCGGCCACGGGGCTGATGCTGTGGGCTCAGGGGAGATGTGGGTTTTCTTATCACCCTCTCTGCCCCCTGCTTCCTGTGTTTCTTCTGGAGCTAATACTCACACCTACTCTTGGGGGTGCTGGGAAGATGGAATAGCATCATCCAGCAACAGAATAGAATTAACACGGGCACCCAGAAGGCCCTCAAACATCAGCTGCCGTGATGGCTGCTTTTGCCCTCCTTCCCTTTGTCCTTTCATCCTCTTCCTTCTATTTCTTCTTTCTCTCCCTTCACTTCCTCAGATTCCCCGCACCTTGCTCTGTCTACATAAGAGCGAGTTTTCCTGCCAAATGTCAACATGAATCAGTCATAGGTATCCATATGTCCCCTCCCTTTGGCAGAAAACAACAAAATTCTGTAAAGCAGTTATCCTTCAATTAAAAAATATAAAAAAAAAAAAAAGAGTTTCCTGGATTCCCCTGGTGGTTCAGCACTCCCCTGGTGGTCAACCTTCCCAAAACGGGGGGTGCAGGATCAGTCTCTGGTCAGGGAGCTAGGATTCCACATGCTGAGCTGTGCAGCCAGAGAAAAGACAGCTTCCTGCTTCCCCAGCCCCGACAGCTGTGCTCCCTGGCTTCCCAGGGCTCTGGTGCCTCTTCAACCAAGGTTAGCCATCGCCTAGCTTTCCACCCCCTCCCCTTGAGCTGAGCCTGGATAATGGATGGGGTCACTGAGAGGCCCAGCAGGGGAGACAGAAGGGGAGCTCAGTTCCATGGCCCAGAAAGAGTGAGAACAAATGTCAGCATCCCCAGACAAGGCAGCGTCTGCTTCAGACCCTTTGAGGGCCCCCCTGGATCCCAGCGCCCCCAGTGAACTGGGTGAAGGAATTGCTACCTCTGAGAAAGTGCTTCATAGACACCGAGGCTGTGAGCATGTCAGCATCATCCCAGGCTATGTCTGCACCAGGAGCGTGGTCAGAATCTTCATGTCTCACCGTTTTAAAAAGGTTCTTCAGGGGAGCTCCCTGGTGGATCAGGTGGTAAAGAATCTTCCTGTAATTCAAGAGACCCGGGTTTGATCCCTAGGTTCGGAAGATCCCCTGGAGAAGGACATGGCAACCCACTCCAGTATCTTTCCTGCAGAATCCCATGGACAGAGGAGCCTGGCGGGCCACAGTTCACGGGGTCGTAAAGAGTCGGACACGACTGAGCGACTCACACTTCAGGGCTTTCGGGAGGCGGTGTCCCTCCCTGTACCCGCTTTCGTGTCCCAGCCTCCTGGACCTCCACACAATTCTCACCAAACCTCAAGTTCCTTTTCTCGGTTTTAGGATCCATCATCTTTTTCTGCGTCCCCACAAGGAGTCCTTGTCTTCCCCTTTCACCAGTGCAGCAGTCCCCAGTCATTTCCTGTTCAGAAAATAGCCAGCGACGACCATGAGGCTGCTCGATGCCCTTCGCTTAGGTGGCTGCCCTCGGGGGCCCCAGGCGTCGGTGTCAGGCTCCCTGAAGGCTGTGCCGTGACCCCCAGGGGCAGCCGTCCTCTCAGAAGTTGGGGGCCACTCTCAGGTCAGAGGCTGGGTCTCCCCATCTCCCCTGGCAGGCTGTGGGCCTCCCTGCCTCCATGCCCGTTCCCCTTGAGCCTTGCTTCTCCTTCCACCTTGACTTTTCCAAAGGGTGAATCTAATCCCATCGCTCCAGCCCTGGGAAGAAGTCCCCCATCTGAACCCGGCTTATAGCACCCCTGAGCATCCAGGCCTTGCCCCTCTCCTTCTCCCTTCCCCTCCCCTTTCACCTGGTCAGCTGCTACTTATTCTTTTAAGACCCAGCCCAGGGGGGCCCACCTCCAGGAAGCCCTCCCTGACTGAACCCCTGCCCAGCCCAATCTGTTTCTGTATCTGTCTTTCTGCTGGGCGGTGAGAGCTGAAAGCGAGTGGCCCTGAGTTGGTGCTCGACTGTTGACACGTGGCCACAATGTCACTGAACTGAACCCCACCTTCAGGGTTCCCTTCCTGTCCCGCGGCCCCGGCTTCAGCAGGAAGCACCTCATGGAACCGAGAGGAGCCCCCAGCGGGCTTCAGGTGTGAAGGCCGGGCCCTGGGCTCAGCGCTGTAGGCTGGTGGGTCCCTCCTCAGCTTGGAAGGCCCTGTCACACCCTCCCCTTCCTCTCATTGTGCCTCCTTTCCTGTTTAGCTGACTGTGAGTTAGGCCGAGAACGTTTTTTCCTCCCTCTGAGGACCTGCTGAGATGGAGCCATTTCCCCTTTGCATCCCCCCCGACGTCTCCCCGGACTTGATGCTCTGACCCGTGGGTGGGCTCTGGGATCCATACCCAGAGCCAGATCCGAGCTCGACCCATCTAGCCGTGTGAGCAGAGGCAAGGGTCTCACCCCTCCGGGTTGCGGTTTCCTCATTTGTAAAATGAAACCGGGCACGCAGTCCTCCCGGGGTCGAGCCGGCGTCGGCGGCCCAAGCTGCCCGTGCCCCCATCTGCGCTGCGGTCGTCAGGCTGGGGGTTGTGTCCCCCTCAGAGCCCAGCCGGATGCGCCCTGGATGCCTGCGCATGCAAACATCCTGTTCTTTTTTGAACTCCTTACTGGAGAAACAGGGGAAAACCCAATCTTTTTTTTTCCCCTCCTAAACCCAGATCGGGTGACACAGAAAACACAGGCGCGGCTGGCCTGAGCTGCTTGGCTGCGAGCTGCTGAGCAGCGTGGCCGCTCCTCTCCCGGATTAGGACGGGTTCCGTGGGAACCAGACCGCCCCTGCGGCGGGAGGGCGGCCCTGATGTCTCCCCGGGGCCAGGACCTGCTGCGCAGCCCCCTCCTCCTGGGCAGCGAGGGCCCCGGGCTCACGTCCTCCCCGTCCCGCCTGCCTCCCGCCCTGCAGGTGAACTTCCGAGGCCCCCGGAACGGCCAGAGATGCTGGGCCGCCAGGACCCCGGTGGAGAGGCGGCTGGTGGTGCTGGTGGCGCTTCTGGCGGCGGCAGTGGTGGCCTGTCTGGGAGTGCTGGGCATCCAGTACCGGACAAGTAGGTGCCTCTCTCTGTGACGGGTCTGGGCTCCGCTCACTGCCGCCCCGGGCTGTGGCTGCGTGTGTCAGCGGTTGGCCTCCGAGGCTCAGGGGGAGCTGGGGCTGGGGGGCTGGGGGGGCTGTGGCAGACTGAGGCCTGGGAGGTGGGCGGACGGGTGGTGATCAGGTTTGGGTGTCAGGAGGAGGTGAGTGTAAATCCTGGCCTGGCAACTTGTTATCCTTGTGACATTGGACAGGTCACTCAATCTCTCAGAGCTTGTGTGTTTTCTGCTTTCAGTGGAGACACCGGTGGTCAGTTTGAATTCCTCCCACAACTGGCCCACGTTTCTCTGTCCAAACCTGTGTAACAATATGATCAGACCCCACTTTGACCTCTGAGGATTCGGGATAATCCTCAGATTATCTACCGGGCACATACCTGGTGACCGGCAGACCTTCTCTGGCTTCAGTTCCAGGTACTCTTATTGTTAGGATGTGGGCTGGTTAGACATGCGGGCTGACCCTGTCGCCCATCAACAGTTCCAGCAAAACAGCAGTGATGGCTTCCGCTTGCTGAATACTTTCCATGCACCGAATACCTTGCCTCTCCTTTACAGATGTAATCTTGTTTCCTCCTCGCTGCCACTCTGTGAGGTGTGGTTGCTTCTGGCCCCGTTTTCTGCAAAGGAAACTGAGGCAGTGAAACTACGCGGTTTGCCCAAGGTCATGTGCCTAGTGCGGGAGGGATTCAGCCGTGGGCTGGCGGGCCCCAGAGCTCAGGCTCTGTCTTCGGTGTAACTGATGGTACACCCTAGTGTGTGTTACCATCCCCAGGAAAGCTGTTCTTTGAGCCAGGGGAACTTTGCATACCTCTGTCATCTCATTTCTCTGTCCTACCTTGTATAGTAATATGATCAGACCCCAGGTGGATCCCGCTGTCAGGGGTCTGAGGCTGGTTCTCTATGTCTGGTTGAGTGTATGTAGCAACTGCCTCTCATGGAATCCATGCTCCGTAAGCTCTTATGGTCCAGGAAAGGGCAGATCCAAGCTAATAGGGATGGGAGTCCAGATAGTTCCCGGATCTCTTCCGTCTCTGTGCCCTCGTATCCAGCTCTCTGATGGCAAGAAGCCACCTGGACGAGCAGCCTCTGGGGCTTCGCCAGGAGTTTAACCCCATCGACTTTGTCACCTGGGGCTCATCCCATCAGAGAGATCGTGAACCTTCATAGGATCTGTCAGTTCAGTTCTGTCGCTCAGTCGTGTACGACTCTTTGTGACTCTGTGAACCGCAGCACGCCAGGCCTCCCTAATTCATCCCCAACTCCTGGAGTTTACCCAAACCCATGTCCATTGAGTCGGTGATGCCATCCAACCATCTCATCCTCTGTCGTCCCCTTCTCCTCCTGCCCTCAATCTTTCCCAGCATCAGGGTCTTTTCAGATGAGTCAGCTCTTCACATCAGGTGGCCAAAGGATTGGAGTTTCAGCTTCAGCATCAGTCCTTCCAATGAACACCCAGGACTGATCTCCTTTAGGATGGACTGGTTGGATCTCCTTGCAGTCCAAGGGACTCAGGAGTCTTCTCCAACACCACAATTCAAAAGCATCAATTCTTCGGTGCTCAGCTTTCTTCACCGTCCAGCTCTCACATCCATACATGACTACTGGAAAAACCATAGCCTTGACTAGACGAACCTTTGTTGACACAGTAATGTCTCTGCTTTTTAATATGCTGTCTAGGTTGGTCATAACTTTCCTTCTAAGGAGTAAGCGGCTTTTAATTTCATGGTTACAGTCACCATCTGCAGTGATTTTGGAGCCGCAAAAAATAATGTCAGCCACTGTTTCCACTGTTTCCCCATCTATTTGCCATGAAGTGATGGGACCAGATGCCATGATCTTAGCTTTCTGAATGTTGAGCTTTAAGCCAACTTTTTCACTCTCTTCTTTCACTTTCATCGAGAGGCTCTTTAGTTCTTCTTCACTTTCTGCCGTAAGGGTGGTGTCATCTGCATATTGGAGGTTATTGATATTTCTCCTGGCAATCTTGATTCTAGCCTGTGCTTCATCCAGCCCAGCATGTCTCATGATGTACTCTGCATATAAGTTAAATAAGCAGGGTGACAATATACAGCCTTGACGTTCTCCTTTTCCTATTTGGAACCAGTCTGTTGTTCCATGTCCAGTTCTAACTGTTGCTCCCTGACCTGCATATAGGTTTCTCAAGAGACAGGTCAGGTTTCTGGTATCCCGTCTCTTTCAGAATTTTCTACAGTTTATTGTGATCCACACAGTCAATGGCTTTGGCATAGTCAATAAAGCAGAAATAGATGTTTTTCTGGAACTCTCATGCTTTTTCAATGATCCAGTGGATGTTGGCAATTTGATCTCTGTTCATAGGATCTGGGAACATCAACTCCAGGCTTTGTTGAGCCTTCTCCACTGTGAACTTGCTGGCCTGCATAACTGGCCACACTGCATTGGGGTTGGGGAAGGGGTTTGGAGGACTGAAAAGAGTGCAGGGCTTCATCTGAGTCATCCTCCCATCCCTCCTGGATCAATCACTCATTCATTCACTCATTATTCATTCCACAAACATTGAATGAGTGCTTACTCTATGTCAGGCGCCTAGGTGGTACCTGAGAAATAATTGCTTAGTTATTTAACTGACTTTTTAATGGTTTGTAGATGTCTTACCAAATGTGCCTAGCCCAGCAGGCGATTATTGCATATCTGATTGATTAATTAGTGATTTCCTAACCATATGTGCTCAGCATAATGCCTGCTTGCCATAGGATACTTTGCAAAGTGAATAAATAATGATTGAATGAACAAAGAGCAAGAAGGAAGACAAAGTGGGAACAGCCTTTCTCTACTGATCACCCTTGTCCTGCAGCTGCCGTCTTGCTTCGTCCTAAAGCAGGTTTAATTCCGGGCAGTGCAGGCCTTCCAGCCGTGTCTGCCCAGCGTGGGAGCTGATGGGATTCCAACACGCACTGTTGCCCTGAGGTTGCCCCTAGAAGTTCAAAGGACGTTTTTCCATCAGAAACCAGAAGGGAGCCCCTGAGGCCTGGCTTCTAAGGATGGGGCAGCACACACGTATGTTGTTGCCGGGGGGGGCCCACAGGGAGGAATCCTGCTTCAGTCTATCCCGTCTGTCTCAGGGCTCCAGAAGGGTTTTCCCCAGCCTGGTCCTGGGTGAGGGGAACTCTTCCCCCCAGGGTGGAGCTGAACTGGGGATCTGGTGACCCTTGAGCCTGTTCGTGTGTCTTTATCAGCTGCCTGACCCTGGGAAAGCAGTGGCCGCCCCAGATGCTGGTGATAACCTCATTACCCAGCAGCAGGTGCTGGCACTATCCACATCTGGGCAGACATTGGGCAGGTCAATGCAGATTTTGGTGATTCTCAAAGACACACCTGTAAGTTATGTCTGAGCATTTAAATACATATTTATCCACCTTCCTGTTGCACCCTGCTTTCCAGAAACATACAATGCTTTGCAAACAGTGGCAGCAAAACAAACAATACATTTTCCAGAAAATATTCTGAAGTGTCTTAGTGTTGAGGCCAGGCGCCATCAGAGCCTCTAACCTTTAGCTAGATCTGGGACCTGCTCCTGCCTTCTCGATGGATCATGCACGACCTAAAGGGAAGAAGTATTTCTACATCTACAGGTGGATCAAAGGCTGGACAAATCTCCTTTATTCATTCAGCCATTCATTCATTCAACAAACACTTAATGAATAGCTGCTGGGTGCCAAGTTTGCTGAGCAAAGGAAGTGTAAATGCAAGTAAGATGCTGACCCTGGGCTTTGCAGTGGTAAAGAACCCAGCTGCCAATGCAGGAAATATGAGACTAGGGTTCAATCCCTGGGTCAGGAAGATTCCCCTGGAGGAGGGCGTGGCAACCCACCCAATGTTCTTGCCTGGAGAATCCCATGGACAGAGGAGCCTGGTGGGCTTCGGTCCATAGGGTCGGAAAGAGTTGGACACCACTGAAGTGACTTAGCGTGCACGCGCGCATGCAAGATGCTGGCCCTACTCGCAGGCTCACTTCCTAGTGGGGAAGGTAGTCAAGGTGATGGCCGTGACGCAGCACAATGTGCTCAGGTGGCAGGCCTCCAGACAGCCAAGGGGACCAGGGAAGGGAGAGGTTTCCCCAAGGAGAGAGAGCCTGGGCTGAGTTTTGAGGTTGTTGACATGGGATAAGAGGCACGTCGAAATTGTGAATTAATTAATCAAATGTACACGAAGCACCTCCTAGGCCAAAGATCATTGATAAGGGATCTACAAGCCAATAATAGTTAAATAGCCAGGCAATTATTGCCTAAGTATCACCTGGGTGCTTAAGTATTTCTGTGTGCCTAGCGGAATAGGTGCTTAAGTGAAGAACTCAAGCCTGTCAGACTGATTCCTGGGGACTGGTTTCCTATTTAAAACCAAGGCCTGCTGTGATAACTGCAGATTATCTCTCTGTCTCTCTCATGCACACACACACACGCACAGATTCTGTCTTGCTCCCTCAGGATCAATCTCTTTACAGCTGGCCTCTGGGTTTTCCCACCCGCCAAGTGTTTGTCAAGCTTGACTTCCTGCAGTTAGTTGTATAAAAACAATAGGTATTCTTTTCCTTTTCCAAATATGAAGTTATATCATAATAGTGAATAGGCTTTTTCAGATGACACAGAAACTCTTTTCCCCCACCCCCATAAAGACTTTGGTACATTTCCTTAGTTGAAAAGCAAGGCATGCAACTCAAAGGTCTCATCTAGAGATATTTGAAATTGTGCTATGTCCCCTACCATATCCTTTCTCTGTTTTCACGCCTAAGGTGAAAGTCACTCAGTCGTGTCCAACTCTTTGCGACCCCATGGACTACACTGTCCGTGGAATTCTCCAGGCCAGAATACTGGAGTGGGTAGCCTTTCCCTTCTCCAGGGGATCTTCCCAACCCAGGGGTCTCCCGAGTTGCTGGCGGATTCTTTACCAGCAGAGCCACAAGGGAAGCCCATTTTCATGCCTCATGGTTCAATAATCTTTAATTGTTGTACAGTCATCTCAAAACAAGAAATTATTGGGTTGGCCAAAAAGGTCGCTCCAGTTTTCTGTAACATCCTCCAGAAAAACCTGAGCAACCTTTTTGACCAGCCCAATACCTCGAAATAGAATCGCCCTGATTTTTGTGCTGTCCTGCGACCCTTCTGAGCCCTTCGTCCACCCTCAGGACCTTGGGTTTATCATCAGATATACATTAGCACACAGGTTGCCCAGCCCTGGCCAGCGCTGCATCTCCAGGTGAGATGATGACCAGCCCTGCCAGCCGGTGCATTCTCTTTTGCTCTCTGAGGGTTGATCTGGGAATATTAGATGCTAAGACTCCAGGGAGCTGAGTCCCCGGACCCCGCTGCCCAGCCACGAGGTCACTTCCTCATCATCAGGCAGTTGGTCCTCCTTTTTCTCATCTCCAGAGGGAGAAACCGAGCTTCGGAGGGATGAGGTTACCAGCACGAGGCCAGAGGCAGAGAGCTGGGCTCTGCACCAAGGTCTAGGAAGGAGCCCCCAGCACCTGCCCTGCCCCTCTCCTCCGTGCGCAGTGGGGAACTGAAGGGCCGGCCAAGCGGCGTTGCAGGCAAGTGGGAAGAACCCAGCTTTGGCGTTGCCGAAGCAGCAGAGAACGGGTTCAGTCCGGGCGTTCCCATGCCGCCACGGGACGCTCAGAGCCTTGCTGTCCCCATCTGCCCCCGGGGGTCTCGCCCCCGTTATCGGGAGACCATCCCTCTGGTTGCCTGTCTGCTCTGGTCAACCAGCGGGGCGGATCCTCCGTCTCCTACCGTCAGGTTCGTCTCACCACCTGGGCCCGAACCCCCGCTAAGGCGGCCCCGGCTTGCTTCCCCCGCTTGAGCCCGCTGACCGACCTCAGGGCCGGACTCCGGCCCTGTCCTCCGGCCTCTGCCCCAAGTCCTATAGAATCAGCTCAAAGTGAAAAATGAAGTCGCTCAGTTGTGTCTGACTCTTGTGACCCCATGGACTGTAGCCCACCAGGCTCCTCTGCCCGTGGGATTTTCCCAGGCAAGAGTACTGGAGTGGGCTGCCATTCCCTTCTCCAGGGATCGAACCCCCATCTCCCGCATTGCAGGCAGACGCTTTACCGTCTGAGCCAGCAGGGAAGTCCATAGAATCAGCTCAGAGGAAGTGGATTTCTTTGTCCCTTGTGCTTTGGGGGCACTTGTAGGATTTGGCAGCCCTCCCCCGGGCGCCTGCCATCACGGGAAGAGCTCCCTTCCAGGCCCAAAGCGGAGGGTGGGACTCAAACCCCACTGGCCACTGAGCAGGGAGCTTAGTCTCCCTCCCTGTGCCTCTGTTTCCCAATATGTAAAAGTGGCTTTAAGCGAAGCGATCTCTTAGGACTGTTTCCTTTTCGCTTCTTTGAAAATTCAGCGAGATGATTCTCCTGCCTTATACCCGGTGGGAATGATTTTTCACGGTTCCTTCTGTTCCTCAGTCTTTCCTTCTTCCTGGCACCTCGTCCGCATCATGGATTTGGCTCAGTGAGTTCGTATGTAATAAGTAACAGACATTTCTCCTTCTGTATTCTTTTGACTTTTCTTAGATAAGTTTGTATCTGCCACTAAATTATTAACTCCTGAAGGAAAAGACTATGGCTTTATATCTCCCACCACACACACACACCTATCTGCACTCAGCAAAGAACTTGGAAGATGCTCAGTAATTACTTTGTTGAATAAATGAATGCATGAATGAGTAAACGAATTTGTTGAGCATCAGGAGATAATTTTTAAAAATCAATGAATATTTATGGCAGCGCTGATTAAAAGAAGCACCTTGGTTCTGGTTTTAAAGTCATAGGAAGGATTTTAGGCAACTCAACAGAAGTCTTATTTTACAAGCCAGGAGATCATAAATCCACGGAAATCTTTGTCTCTGTAGTGTTTGGTCTCTCTGTTTGGTCAGGGCTGGGGTGGCCCAGACCACCTGCACTCTATTTCCATAGCCTCCTCCCTGCCTGCTCTTCACTGGCCTCTTACCATTGACCCCTGCCAGGAACGCCCTCCGTGTGCCTAAGTGAGGCCTGCATCTCAGTGACCAGCTCCATCTTGAGCTCCATGGACCCCACGGTGGACCCCTGCCAGGACTTCTTCACCTACGCCTGCGGAGGCTGGATCAAAGCCAACCCCGTGCCTGACGGCCACTCACGCTGGGGGACCTTCAGCAACCTCTGGGAACACAACCAAGCCATCATCAAGCACCTCCTCGGTAGGCACCCGGCGGGGGGACTGGGGAGCGGGCTGCAGAGGGGGGCTGCCCTCCGGACCCGGCCAGGCTCGGCTGAAGGACAAGGTTGGCAGGATGGGGAGACGAGAGGGTTGGGAGCAGACAAGACTGGGTTAGAATGTCTGCCCCGTCTCTGGGTGTGTGATCCTAAGTCACTTATCACTGAGCCTCACTTCCTCCATCTGTAAAAATGGGACTAGTAAGGCCCAAACTGCGGAGTTTCGAGAGCTAGAGAGCACATGTGTGAAGCATTAGTGTGGTATGTACGGCATGTCATAGGTGTGTAAGTACTGTGTGTGTGGCTGTGGTCGTAATTTATGGCTTCAAGCTGTGGCTTAGTTTTTGACTGGTTTTGACTGGGAGTTTTGCAAGTTGTGAGCAAAAGGAATGAAGGCACACTGGATCCAGATTTTAAGGTTGTGAGCCGATCCAGGTTCTGACAATGGTTTATCTGAGAGTCATCCAAAGGCAGGAGTCTTCCTTGGCCTGGTGGTAATCCGGCTTGTGTGATAAACCGTCTTGCGCTTTATACCTTGTTAGGCCATTAGCACTTCTAGTTGACCTTGGTGTTGGTGGTTTTATCCTCAGGTTAGAATCCCACGTCTGTCTTGTTTGAGGCTGTGTCCTTAGTCAAAGTCTGTTGAATTAACATCTGCCCCTGAGGATGCTTCTCCATGTGGAACGAAACACGCTGCGCTGTCACCTGTAGAGGTCCCAACTTGAACCCCTTTGGGACCAAGACCTTCACCATACCTGTCTCCTGCTGACCCCTGCCCCATTCTGGGACCCTCAATGCTGACAGGAGCTCAATCATGAAAAGTCAGTCCATTAATTCACCAATGATAGAACTGAGATTGAAGAAGTACTTATTAAATTAAAAAAAATACTTTCTTAAAAAATAATACCTTCTTAATACTCAAAAGTAGGTAAATTGAAGAAGACATCTAAAAGAGGGCTCAGTCATGTCCGACTCTTTGCGACCCTTTGAACTATAGCCCACTATAGGCTCTTCTGCCCATGGGATTCTCCTGACAAGAATACTGGAGTCGGTTACCATTGCCTCCTTCAAGGGTATCTTCCTGACCGAGGGATCAAACCCTCACCTCCTGCGCTGGCAGGCAGATTCTTTACCACTGGCAGCACCTGGGAAGCCCCTAAAAGGGGACAGATGGTCTCAACGGGACAGAAACCTTCCTATGAGACAGGAAAAGATTTCTAACTTGATGAATATGAATTTCAGGAGACTGTGTCTTTAAGATGAAAGTGGAAACTAGCAAACCAGATTAAGGAGACCTTTGCTTTCTTCTTCACCTCTGCCCCAGGGGCATGGCTGCTGCAGGGTGGAACTCACCCACCACTTCTCCCTGGTACCCAGCAGCTCCAGGGCAGGGCCCCTGGGCACAAGGAGACCTGCTTGTCTCTCTGAGGATCAGAAAAGGTGGTGGATGGAGGTGGGGCGGAAAGAACCCCAGGTCAGGAATAACCCAGCCCCCTGTGTGCACTATGCCACCCGCTTGCCTTTGCAGGGGGACCCAGCCTTTTATTTCAGAATTAAAGGCAAGTATGTCTATGGTGGCCAGACCGAAACTCAGGGTTGTCCTTTCCCCAGCATCTAAAGACACAGCTGGAGACTGGGCAGGGATCATCAACCAAAGCAGAGGAACAGAGGACTTCTCTGATGATCCAGTGGTTTAGATTCCACACATCCACTGCAGGGGGCACAGGTTCGATCCCTGGTTGGGAAACGAAGATCCCATATGCTGCACGGTGCAGTCCAAAAAATAAATAAGTTGTATTTGGGGACTTCCCCGGCAGTTCAGTGATTAAGAGCGTGTGCTCCCAATGCAAGCGGCACAGGTTCGATCTCTGGTCTGGGGACTAGACTAAGATCCCACAGTGCTGTGCAGCATGGTCAAAAAATGAAAAACACGGTAGGAGGATAGTCTCGGTAGGATAACAATATGGGCTAGTGCCTCTGTGTCCTTCACCAGGACCTGGATTCAAGTCCTGGTTCTGCCACTTACTGTGTGATCTTGGGTCAGTGACATAACCTCTCTGGGCTTCTTGTCTCATCAGTACAATGGGAACCACACCTCCTCCAGGTTGTGAAAATTAAGTGGAAAAATATCTATAAAGCCCTTTGCTGGAGCCAGGCATATTGTGGTGGCTGCTGGCTATGCTAATGTGACTCTTGTTACTCACCCTTGACCTTTGCCCAACACTTTCCAGTTTACAGAGCTCTTTTGTAGATAACCATTCCTTGTGACCCTGCTCCTGTAGGAACTAGGAAGCTGTTGCTCACCCCACTTGATAGATGAGGAACCGGAAGTCCAGAGAGCTCCCCAAGATGGGCTAATAGGTGGAAGAACTGCCACTGCCTGAATCCTGGCCACATGTCCCTTTCCTGTCCCAAGCCCTAACCCTGCCCATCTTTTTGGGGAGAACTTGCAGGAAGCACACAGTGTTGAGAGTCTGAAGGAAAGAAGGAAACAGACCGGCTCTTGCTGAGTGTCTGCTCCGTGCTGGGCTGTGTACCAGGCTCTTTATATCCACTGCCTCCTTAATCCTCACGGTTACCCTGGGACTTAGGAACCGCGGTCCCATTCCTGGATGACGAAGCTGAGAGAAGTTAAGCTCACCAAGGACACCCTGCTGGTCCAGGGGCTTCAGCCAAGGGGACCAGTTCACACCAAGAAGGGACTGCGGAGAAAGGCAGACGGGCCCTTGGACTCCCCAGTCAGGCCCAGAGCTGGCCCTTGGGGAGGGCTCCCCTGGGTCCTGATCTGCTGCCTCTGGGAGGATCATGGGTCTTATCAGGAAGACCTTGGGTCTAGGCCAGACTCAGCCCATCCCCACACCCCGCCCCACCCCCACAGCGGTGGCCTCCCGTCTGGACTCTGGCCTTTCATCCCCGCTGTCCCTGAGGGCGGGGAGCTGCACTGAGGGGGCATGCAACAGCCAGGACCCTGTGTTCAAGCCCCTGACCCCGGGTCAGGGCCCGGTGGGATCAGGAGCCCCGGCAGGCTGGCCGATCACGTGTGGCCTTGGCCAAGTGACGCGCTTTCTCTACAACTTGGTTCTATGATTCTGTAAAATGTGGGTGATGGTGTTGCCTGATGCTCAGGGTTACTGTGCGTGTCGTCTCGCGTGTGATGGGTCAGCGTGCTCGGCGCAGAGCCTGGCTCCCAGTAGGCGCTCAGCAGAACTGCCCTCCTTGGTGGTGGGGGTGGGTGAGTTCCAGGTCAGCCCCCTGCCTATGGCCTGTGTGGCTGCCCCGCCTGCTTCAGCCCTTCACCTGTGAAGTGGGAACCAACTCAGAGTACCAGCAGGGGTGTTCTGAGGATTCGTGGGTGGTCACAGAGAGAGTACTTATTGCTTGTTTTATTTCTTTTATTTCTTGGACTTGTCTGGTGGCTCAGACGGTAAAGCGTCTGCCTACATTTTGGGAGACCCGGGTTCAATCCCTGGGTGGGGAAGATCCCCTGGAGAAGGGAATGGCAACCTGCTTTAGTATTCTTGCCTGGGAAATCCCATGGACCAGAGGAGCCTGGCGGGCTACAGTCCATGGGGTCACAAAGAGGCAACACAACTGAGCCACTTCACCTTTCACTTATTTCCTTTTAAAAAAAAGTGTAACCGGAGTATAGTTGCTTTACAATGTTCTGTTAGTTTCTGCTGCACGGTGCAGTGAGTCAGCCTCACATGTGCGTACATCCCTGTCCACTTTAGGCCACCTCCGAGCATTCCAGTAGAGTTCCCCATGTGGTACGGTAGGCTCTGCTTGGTTATCTGTTTTACACGGGGTATCAGGAGTGTCTGTGTCCGTCCCAGTCTCCCAGTTCAGCCCAAGCCTCCGCTTTCCCCACCGGCATCCATAGGTTTGTTCTCTGCACCTGTGACTCTCTAGCTACCTTGTAAATAAGATTGTTTATACCGGCTTTTTCAGATTCTACACATACGCGTTAATATACGGTATTTATTTTTCTCTTATAGAAGCCCTGATGGAGCCTCTTATCAGAAGGAGGTATGAGAGTGTTAGTCGTGTCTGACTCTTTGCAATCCCATAGCCAGGATGCCGCTTTTTTCTCTCTTAACAGATGGGAGCTAGCAGTTCCAAAAACACTTCTTTAAAATGTATTAAAAAAAATTGGGGACAAGTTTGATCCCCAGAGTTTAAAAAGACCCTCCTGATCTTCTTCTGTGATACTGAATGGCCACAGTATCCTTTGGAAGACGGGGAACACTGGCCTGTTAAAGGGTCTCTCAATTACGATACTGTTTTCGTTGGAGAAGGAAATGGCAACCCACTCCAGTTCTCTTGCTTGGAAAATCCCATGGACAGAGGAGCCTGGTAGGCTACAGTCCATGGGGTCGCAAAGAGTGGGACACGACTGAGCAACTTCACTTTAGCCAGGCTCCTCTGTCCTTGGTATTCTCCAGGCAAGAATACTAGAGCGGGGAGCCATTCCCTTCTCCAGGGGGTCTTCCCAATGCAGGGATCTAACCCCAGTCTCCCACATCGCAGGCAGATTCCTCATCATCTGAGCCACCCGGGAAGCCTCAGGGAGGTGTGGGTGTATCCATGGCCATGCTGGGTTGTTTACTTGTATTATTTTCTTCAAGCCATGGAGTATATGCCCATTTTACAGATGTGATTCACAAATACAAAGGAAACGGATCTCCTGGGAGATGGTGGAGCTGGGGCCTCAGACCTGTCTTCTTTCTCTACTGATTCTGCTGTGCAGAGGTCGGGGACAGCCCAGAAGTATGGTCTGCCCTGCAATCTCCTTCCCCTGAGAGCTGCTTGATTTTGTTCTCCGGGCCAAGGGACACCTGGCTCGGGCCCAGTGAGCAAGTAGCTGGGGTCCCCTCATGTCATAGTGACCGAGAGTTTCCCCACGAGGTATATCCTGGCATCCCCGCCCCCCAGGCTCACTCTTGAAAACCAGTCTGGAAACGGCCCCTCCCCTGTGGGCCTTGAT